CACATACATTCCACTCTGCAGTAGCATCACTCTGATTCCATAGTGGTACTAGCTAGCCAGTGGATGTAAGCAGTGACATGTCCAGCAACTCTGTCCTGCCCCCAAAGAGATGGTGAGCACAGCCACACAGGGAGTCCCCTGGAAGCATGGCTTTAAAGTATAAAGGGGATGTGCAAGCAAAATCCCTCTCCCTCCCCTGCATGCAGTAGAGTTGCACCAGTTCTACTACATCTGGGACATATCATCCACGCACAGAAGGGCAGGATTTTCCACTTACAGCATCTTTGAACAGGGTGGAGAGGGGGTTATTTTTATAATGTGGGGCCCCATCCTACTCCCATTGGGGTCAATGGAAACCCTCCAATGAACTTCAGTTTCAGCAGGCCCATGCCCCTGGTTCTGAAGCCCAAAGTTGCCATGCTGTTGCTAAAAATGGGCTAAATGACCTAGCAGCTTTTTCCCATCTCTTATCATGGATGTAATTTAACAGTTGTTTAAAGGGTCAGTCCTAACAGTGCCTGACAATACTACTAGAGTTAAAGTGTTCGGACATTTCAATGATCCCTCCCCCCCCCTTAGGTGAGTGAAACTCAGCTGTTAGAAACTTGCTCCAGGTTGAAACTCACCCTTTGAGGGCTCATCTCAGAAGTTGTTTATTTACAACATTTCACAAATCTGTTGCGGCATTTTGGAGATTTAAGACTGAAAAAATCCAAACTTTCTGGGAAGTGGGAAGGAATGGAGCTTCCATCGCTACTTTGTGGTTCATATAGCTCATAAACAGCTCATGTAAGTCATGCTTTGAAATCAAATTTTACAGGCCTTTAGCAGATAATGAGAAGAAATCCCATCTGGTAGGTTGAAGGAAAAAAAGGGGTTAAGGTATCGTTCTAAAAATCATGAACTTCACATGCTCAGTGCAATCCTATCCACAGCTACTAATCTAGGTTGGTATGGCATCATTACATTTGCATATTCTAATCATGGCATTCTTGGTACTTCTGCCAAATCCATTATTAGGGCTGTCAAGCAATTAAAAAATTAATCGCGATTAATCACGCCATTAAAAAATTAATCGCAGTGTTAAACAATAATAGAATACCATTTATTTAAATATTTTTGTATGTTTTATACATTTTCAAATATATTGATTTCAATTACAAAACAGAATACAAAGTGTACAGTGCTCACTTTATATTTATTTTTGATTACAAGTATTTGCACTGTAAAAAAACAAAAGAAATAGTATTTTTCAATTCACCTAATATAAGTACTGTAGTGCAGTCTCTTTATCATGAAAGTTGAACTCACAAATGTAGAATTATGTACAAAAAATAACTGCATTCAAAAATAAAACAATGTAAAACTTTGGAGCCTACAAGTCCACTCAGTCCTTCTTCTTGTTCAGCCAATTGCTCAGACAAACAAGTTTATTTACATTTGCAGGAGATAATGCTGCCCGCTTCTTGTTTACAATGTCACCTGAAAGTGAGAACAGCTGGTTTCATGGCACTGTTGTAGCCGGCATTGCAAGATATTTACGTGCCAGATACGCTAAAGATTCATATGTCCCTTCAGGCTTCAACCACCATTCCCAGTTTAACTGTGCGATTAAAATTGCGATTAATAGCAATTAATTTTTTTAATCGCAATTAATTTTTGAGTTAATCGTGAGTCAACTGCGATTAATCAACAGCCCTAATTATTATATTACTATATAATAATAGTCCAAAAAACAAATGTAATACAGAAATGGTCATACAAAAATGTCCGTAAAATATTGTGAGACAAAGCCAACAAGCCAAAGGAATCTCATAGGGAAGCCTGCCAGTCTCCAACACTTAGGCCCTCTTGTGTCTTCAAACCAATCCTGCTTACATCACACACAGGGCTGGCTCCAAGTTTTTTGCCGCCCCAAGCAAAAAAAATTTTCTGCCCCTTCCCCGCCCCATTCCAACCCCTTCCCCAAATCCCCGGCCCCGCCTCCTCCCCTGGGCGTGCCGCATTACCTCTCCTACCCCTCCCTCCCAGGCAAGCCTGCGGGGGGAAGCGGAGTGGCGGCGGGCTCGGGGGAGCAGGCAGCAGTGGAGCGGAGGTGAGCTGGGGGGGGGAGCGGTTCCTCTGTCGTCGTCCACCCCCCC